GTGTGTGGGATAGGAAATACAAATCAAAATTCTGCTTTTGCTGTGTGTGCCTACTTGCTAGGACACCCAGTTTTTGCAAAAATGTTAATAAATAGCTGCTTCACTGTTGTGTCTACCCTGAGCTTCTACAAGAAAAGCTTTCATCTAGAGACAATTTCTCACACTCCAGAGATGGCAATACCAACAGGACCAAGATTAATCAGATTTCTTTCTCATGCACACATTTTTCTGCCTATTTCTCCCCAGCCATAATAGCTGTGTCCCTTCCCCAGTATCATATGTCTACTCTCCCCTTCCCCGAAGACTCCTCTCTCTTGCACCACTGACCCCGAATCTCAGAGGGCTCTTTGAAATCTGTACTTATATCCAAACCAACATTTTCTTCAATATGAAAACCACTTACTAATGAAAACCAATATTTTTTGAGAAGATTAAAAAAAAAAAGAAAAGAAAAGAAACCTTAAAATTACAACACTGTATTTAAACTGCTGGCTTTCATTTGGTGCTTATGTGAATGCACAAACAAATATCAAAAGATTTTTCCCTGCACCATTAGCTTTGTCGCAAAGCAGCCACTGGGAAACTTAGCAAACACTTCAGTGAATTTGCATTAAGACCAATGTTAGTTACACTATCATTCTGTGTAGCACAAACCTATTTCAGAGTTTGCTTATTGTCAGAGCAAAGAACTCCCTTCAAAATGAAGCCCGTATTTTTACAAAAAGGGAGTCTCAGGGACTGACCTCCTTCTGTCACTCACTTCCACATGTTCTGCCTCCTTTTCACACCTTTCAAGACACGTGTGAAGGCACTGTGGTGTGTAAGGGTGATACATTGGTGTCCAGTCACAAGACCAGGAAGGGAAGAGGTGTACGGCTGCTGGAGAGCACAAGCTCACATACTACCAGAATCTCTCTCTTCTGTTACCTCCTGTGCTGGGTAAGCCTGCTTGGTGATCAAAGGACTGATATTCAGAGAAAGTGTGAGCAGTGTACAGTGTTCCATAAATGCATGTGATGTGGTGGTGTACTGAAGATGTTCGAAGTCCGAAAACACACACCTGCTCTTCTCAGATCAAAATACGGGTAACACTCACTGCTGCTTACACTTCCCACTTCAGGTCACTCAGTGCCCCTTTCATGATTCATCTTTGTCCTCCCACAGGTGATGGGGAAACTTCTCTCACCAAGGCCTCCTTCATCTCCAAGTTACCTGCACACCTGTGTCTCCTTCAGAAAAATCCTGCCTACCCTTCTGATGAAATATGACTGCAGGTTATGCAGTATATGAACACACAGCCTGTGGGAAGGCATGATGTAACCTAATGTTACACTGCACTCTCAGGAGGTGTAACTTTGTAGAATCATAGAACAGTTAGGGTTGGAAAGGACCTTAAGATCATCAAGTTGCAACCCCCTGCCATGGGCAGGAACACCTCACACTAAACCATATCACCCAAGGCCTCATCCAACCTGGTCTTGAACACTGCCAGGGATGGAGCATTCACAACCTCCTTGGGCAACCCATTCCAGGTCCTCAGCACCCTAACAGGAAAGAATTTCCTCCTTATATCCAATCTAAACTTCCCTGGTTTAAGTTTTAACCCATTACCCCTTGTCCTTTCACTACAGTCTCTAACTAAGAGTTCCTCCCCAGCAGCCCTATAGGCCCCCTTCAGATACTGCAAGGCTGCTATGAGGTCTCCACTCAGCCTTCTCTTCTCCAGGCTGAACAGCCCCAACTTTCTCAGCCTGTCTTCATACAGGAGGTGCTCCAGGCCCTGATCATCCTCATGGCCTCCTCTGGACTTGTTCCAACAGTTCCATGTCCTTTTTATGTTAAGGACACCAGAACTGCACACAATGCTCTTGTGAGACCTCACCTGGAGTAGAGTAAAGGGGCAGGATCACCTCCTTCGACCTGCTGGTCATGTTCCTTTTGATGCGGTCCAGGATACGGTTGGCTTTCTGGACTGCAAGCACACACTGCCTGCTCATGTTCATTTTCTCATCAACCAGCACCCCCAAGTCCTTCTCTGCAGGGCTGCTCTGAATCTCTTCTCTGCCCAACCTGTAGCTGTGCCTGGGATTGCTCCGACCCAGGTGTAGGACCTTGCACTTGGCATGGTTAAACTTCATGAGGTTGGCATCAGCCCACCTCACAAGCGTGTCAAGGTCCCTCTGGATGGCATTCCTTCCCTCCAGGGTATCAACCGAACCATACAGCTTGCTGAGGGCGCACTCAATCCCACTGTCCATGTCAGTGACGAAGATGTTGAACAAGACTGGTCCCAACGCCGATCCCTGAGGGACACCACTCGTTACTGGTCTCCAGCTGGACATTGAGCCATTGACCACAACTCTTTGTGTGTGGCCATCCAGCCAGTTCTTTATCCACCGAGTGGTCCATCCATCAATTTGATGTCTCTCCAATTTAGAGACAAGGATGTTGTGTGGGACAGTGTCGAACGCTTTACACAAGTCCAGGTAGATGACATCAACTGCTCTACCCCTGTCCATCAGCTCTGTAGCCCCATCATAGAAGGCCACCAAATTGGTCAGGCAGGATTTCCCCTTAGTGAAGCCATGCTGACTGTCACCAAGCACCTTGTTGTTTTTCATGTGCCTTAGCTTGCCTTCCAGGAGAAACTCCTCCAGGATTTTGCCAGGCACAGAGGTGAGACTGACTGGTCTGTAATTCCCCAGGTCATCCATTTTCCCCTTCTTGAAAGTGGGAGTTATATTTCCCTTTTTCCAGTCGTCAGGAACTTCACCTGACTGCCATGATTTCTCAAATATGATGGACAGTGGCTTAGCAACTCCATTCACCAGCTCCTTCAGGACCTGTGGATGGATCTCATCAGGACCCATGGACTTGTGCATGTTCAGATTTTTAAGATGGTCTCAAATCAGATCCTCTCCTACAGTGGGCCCAAGGTCTTCATTCTCACAGTCCCTGCGTCTGCCTTAAAAGACTTGGGTGGTGTGGTCAGAGCCTTTGTCAGGGAAGACTGAGGAAACAAAGTAATTTAGAACCTCAGCCTTCTCCAAATCCAGGGTAGGCAGTTCTCCTGATAGATCGTGGAGAGAGCCCACATTGTCCCTAGTCTGTCTTTTATTTGCAATGTACCTGTAGAATCCCTTTCTGTTATCTTTCACATCCCTACCCAAGTTTAATTCTAACTGGGCCTTAGCTTTCCTAACCTGGTCCCTAGCTTCCCAGACAACATCCTTGTACTCTTCCCAGGCCACCTGTCCGTGCTTCCACATTTTATAAACCTCTTGTTTCATTTGAATTTTCCTCAGGAGCTCCTTATCCATCCAAGCAGGTCTCCTGGCCCTCCTGCTGCACTTCCTTCTGGTTGGGATGCAACCCTCCTGAGCTTGTAGCAGGTGATCCTTGAATATCAACCAAGAGTCTTGGGCCCCCCTGCCCTCTAGGGCTGTATCCCATGGAACCTTCTGAAGCAGGTTCCTGAAGAGGCCAAAGTCTGCTCCTTTGAAGTCCAGGGCACTGAGCTTGCTGCACGCTCTTCTCACTGTCCTGAGGATCTCAAATTCGAGCATTTCGTGATCGCTATAACCAAGGCTGCCCTGGAGCAACACATTCCCAACAAGCCCTTCCTTGTTGGTGAGCACGAGGTCAAGCATGGCACCTCTCCTTGTCAGCTCCTCTATTACTTGCAGAAGGAAGTTGTCTTCCACACAATTGAGGAACCTCCTGGATTGCTTGTGCCGGGCTGTACCGTCCTTCCAACAGGTGTCAGGGTGCTTGAAGTCACCCATGAGAACAAGGGCCTGTGAGCGTGAGGCTCTTCCTATCTGTCTATAGAGTGCTTCATCCGCAGGTTCTCCTTGACCAGGCGGTCTGTAACAGATCCCCACAGTAATGTCTCCCATAGCTATATTCCCTTTAACCCTGACCCACAAACTCTCTGTGGACTGCTCACCTGTCCCCAGACACAGTTCCATACTCTCCAGCCTATTCCTAACATAAAGGGTAACTCCCCCTCCCCGCCTGCCAGGCCTGTCTTTTCTAAAGAGTCTGTAACCTTCCATTCCAACACTCCAGTCATAGGAGCCATCCCACCATGTTTCTGTGATGCCTATTATATCATACCCCTGTAGATGTGCACACATCTCTAATTCCTCGTTTGTTCCCCATGCTATGGACATTTGTATAGAGGCATCTGAGCCGAGCTCCAAATGAAGCTGGCTCATTGGCTGGAGCGGCTGGGATATGTCTACATTGCTCCCAGCATTTCTTATAGGTTCTGGCAACTGACTGGTTGTGTTGGGATGGAATGATACCCCTCTCCCCCAACACATCTAGTTTAAAGCCTCCTTGACCAGTCAGCCTACCAAAACCAGCACCCAGTAGACCTGGCCTACTAACTTGGGTCCCGTGTTCAAGACACCCAAACCCCTGACTATGACACCACCATCTTAACCATTTATTAACCTGGCTAATCCTCCTAGCTTTTTCTAGGTCCTTCTCTGTATCCTGGAGAATTGATGAAAAGACTATCTGAGCTAACTTTGGCAACCACTAGTAAATGCTTAAAAGAATCATTAGGACAGTATTTAACAGTGTCACCTTCACAATGACTGCATTCACTGGAAATAAAGAGGAGTGGGCAAAACCATTACTGCTTTGCAAAAGGAGTACACAGGCCTCCAGTTCTGAGGACTTCTATCTCAGGAAAGCAGGAAGTGTGAATGGTATTTAAATGTTAGCAGGGAAGGGAGGAGAAGGTTAGAACAAATAGGTGGGAGTGAATTTCTGTCTCATGATGCACCACAATCCTTAGGGCTGGCAATATATGTCAACTGCCTCATCTGGAAGGACCACTGACATTCTGCTGCTCCTGCAGCAGTTTGTATGACAGCTTGATTCAGACAGAATCAGCCAAGCTAGTGTAACCCACTGAAACATGCAGCATGAGTTTTCCTGGCTCATTTTATTGTGCAAGGCAGAGCTCACACAAACAGCTCCCCAGCAGAGCCATAGGAAACGGGCAGCAACTGGCAATTTCTGTGTAGTGATGGCTTAAATCAGAGCTGTATGCAACATTGGTCAGTACAGTCAGTGTTTGTCAAGGTGGTAAATGAGGTCATTTGTCAAAGCAAAACTCTGCTGAGTTCCCAGATGCCTTGCTCTTTTGTGTGAGCTTCCCTAACCTAAGTGTGGGAATAAAAATAATGTTCTTGCCATTACAAGAATAAATTCATTAAAGGTTAGAGCAAAATCCAAAACGATTACAAGGAAGCATTTACCTCAGTGCAGACAGCATCTCTGTTATTTTTGCCAGCAATTTAGAAAACTAATTAAAATAATGGATTATTGTATTCAATGTTTTAAACTAATCAGTAACGCTAACATGCTATGCATTTGTGCTTTCCTATAAACACTATCTTTAAAAGCCTTCCTAAATTGACACTTTTAAGCAAACAAAAAAATCTTGTTCTTTTTATTATTTATTGGATTAGAAATAATTAAAGCTCAGCTTGCTGGTATTTGCATGAGTGCCAGAAAGCACAGGTCATTGGGACTGGGTAGATAAGGTTTAATAGCCCAGAGTATCTTTTTCCACTAGTTTGATCATGTTAGGCTTAGAAAGCAGTGACTAGAAAGCGTTAGCATTACAGAGCAACTCAGTTATTTTCTCCAGGAGAAATTTCAGGCTCTGATCCTGTGATACTGATGTATGAAGGCAGGTTCATTGACCAGTAAAGAATCCCATTAATGTAAATGGGGTTTTGTGCAGGCATCTGCCCTACTCCCAAGAATCAAGAACTTTATGATTGGAACCTAGTTCCTGAACAACAGGAGCTTGCATCTCATAACCTCCCTCCTCCTCCATGCCCCAGTCCCATTTTCTCAAGATGCCAATAGTTTCAGAAAACTTAGGAAAAAATAAAGACACATGAATTCACTTTTAATCCACAGACTGACTCTTCACTATTGTGACCAAAGTATGCTTATTGGTAAACATTCAAGACCTGGTTCAAGACCAGGTTTGACGAGGCCTTGGGTGATATGGTTTAGTGTGAGGTGTCCCTGCCCATGGCAGGGGGGCTGGAACTACATGATCTTAAGGTCCTTTCCAACCCTAACTATTCTATGAAACACAGAAACTTTTATGATGAGACCCTGCTCTGTGGATAAATATATCCCCAAGAAGTCAGGATTTTCATAAAGCTTTCTAGACACATAATGTTTTAAAGTGGCTGGCCTTCCAAACGTGTCAAGTACCTTTCAGACGTCTCCAGGTGAGCTTTGCAGAGCAGAAGCCCACTAACATAACAGTCAGGCCTGAATACCTTGCCTCAGCATGTTTTTCACAAACAATATTTGCATGTACACTATGCTCATAACATCTGCCTTTTCCACTTGCCTGAGAACTAAAACGTAAATAAGGGAAAGAGATCCTCAGTTGAGCTATAAATTATGAACAGTTCTTCAGTGAACTGAACTTTGAAGCTTAAGTAACAGAGCAGTGAAAGTCCAGGAAATTGAAAGATGTACAGTTTTAACTTAATGCTACCCCAAAAACTCAGTTAAAACATTTGAACATCTTTCTTTAACTAGAATCTTCAATGGAACAAAAGGTACCTCTGGGGACCCAGCAAAGCATTCTGCAAGATCTGAAGAAGATCGAGGGGAGGAGGCCATGAGAGGGAGCTATCCACACTTCAAAGGCTTTCCTTCAATATCACTATTTCACGTGAAGATTTACAAAATGTTTATTATTTATACATTTAGTTATTTAAACAAATGTAATGCATTACTCAGATGAGAACAAAAGGACTTTGAAAACTTAATTTTTATGCTGTTGAAAAAATATAAAGCCTGCTGGACTGAAATGTTTTCCTTTGAAATTCCCTTCTCTTTTTAAAGAGATTTTTTTTTCTTTTTAAACCAAAGACAAAAATAATGTCAAGATCTTACCTCTCTGCTGTGGTTCAAAGGATTTTCCCTCTCTCATTTTAGTATTATTTTGTATGGTAAATATCTTATCAAATGAAGGCTGTGTTTGTTTGAATTTCAATGAAAAATAAGAAGAAACTAGAAGCATACAATCTACACTGAGAGTGCTACTTTCTACACTTTTAACATAGGTACTCTAAAAAGTCTGCAAAAGTCCTAGAAAGAGTGATTGAAAAAAAAAACCCCATTAAAAAAACTCTTACCAACATAACTTGCTGTTTCATTATGTCGCATCATTTGAAACTGTGTTCAGCAAATACCTTCGAAAGCCAGTGTCTCCTGGCCACAAACGTTACCTGTAAGCAGAAGGATGGTATAAAAATGCTATGAATTTTTTTTTCTGCTTAAGTTTCCATGTAATACAAATATTCAGGAAGTCTTTTAAATTTCATCATATGCTTAAAGATATGCTTGAATTCTACTTACAGTTATATGACTTCATTATATGCTTCATGCTGTCCTCAGGTGCCTTTTAAGTCTGCAACAACCTATCACAATATTACTTTGTTCTTCACCATTTACCAGGCCCCATTCTGTACCTCCAAATCATTTGTTCCTTTGGCAGCACAAACTGACTATGAGAGAAATTTCACTCAAATTAAACAGACTAACCTTTCAAAAAACCTGCAACAAATTTAAAGGAAAAAAAAAAAGCCCTCTCTCTTTCATCCTCTACAGCTTTGTAGGACAGATCCTTTCAGAAGCAGTGCAGGAAAAGCTTGTATATATTTCCTCTCAGTCCACTAGTTTTCCACAATCTCCTGTGCAGCCAGAGATTCTACCCAGGAGCTGCAAGTCCTCTGGGATAATTTCTTTCTGTTAATGGAACAGCTGATGCTGATTGAGACTGTGCTGGTTCACTACAATGTGATTCACCTGCTGCAGGTGCCTAGGTTCTGGAGAGCAGCCAGGCATCTTTCCCATATGTTACAGCCTCAGAGCAAAACAGTAGGTAGCTGCCTTGCAGGAGCTTCCAGGCCAGTGTAGGAAATGGATGTACACAAGTTTCTATGCAACCTTTGACTGTGAAGGGGAGTTTCTGCAGCCTAACTAAAAGGCAGTGGCAGATCAGAAGCTTTGCAATAGCATGTTGTATGTTTTAGCACAACTTTAGTAGAATCAGAGGCTATTGACTGATTTTATGGCAATATGAATGTTGTCAGTTAGACTAAAATATGTGGCAGGCCAAAGCTGAGTTAATGTGCCAATAAGACAAAAAGCCTTTGCCAGCAAGGAACTGTAAAGCTCTGAATTCTCTAAGGCTGTAAGCAGGTGAAGCAAAGGTATGGCTGGTTACCTGCTGCTATGCTAACATGACTTGTACAATTCATACAGCTGACGAGAAACCTGTAGAAAAACGAAGATGCCTTGGCAATAACGTGCTTAGTTCTATTGAGAGCACTATAATGTTAATTTGCCTTTTCTTTGCTTGAAGTAACATTTATCACTGTTTAGGGAGCACCAATAGCAGGGTTTTTGGTAAGCTTCTCCAGCATGCTGTCCTTTATTTCTTTCTTTTATTCCTATCCCTGCTGAGAGCTAGCCAACACACTTTTTTTCTGGACGAAAATGTGTGTTTTTTCAGTTGGGGACTGAACTTTCACTGCACTTAAGTTTTGCAAAAAATTACTGCTTTCAAATATTTTTTTTATTAGGGAAAACATTCTGAACAAACTAGCTGAATTTCTTGTTTTGGCCATGTTTAATACCTTTGAAATCTTTAGTTTTGACAAAATGATGTAAACTATTATTCTGATTAATTTTATATCTGCTTTATATTAAATATCAGTTAGTATTGTTATAAAGAAGTTACTTATTATTATTCAGCACTGAAACATTGTACTCTTATTTATCAGTGTTTCAAAATTACAAATGCCCTTGTCATCTGTCTTAACAAAACGACTTCCTACCTTTATACAAGGCTTGCTTCAAAAATTGAAAATACTCTCTGAAATATGGGAAATACGGGAAACTTAGAATCATAGAACTCCCACTTCAAATTATAATACTCTCAGTTATTGAAAATTCTGTACTGAGAACTCAATGTACTTATTTTTGCTTACTGTTGCTCTGCGTAAGTTTGATTCAGCCTTCTTTTACTTCATGATGAATTGATGAAATAAGGAAGTTCTCTTAATGTGAAGGATGTGTTACCCAATTCAAAGTCCAAAGAACCCACAGCTTCAGTGGCGATGCCACCTGCAAGGATGGTTTAAATTAACACATTTAACAACGCAGGTAGTGTTGTAAGAGTTACTGGTAGCTGCCAAGCCAAAGACCAGCATTTAGTCTTTTAAATTCTTGCCAACTCTTCAGGTTAGAGAAAAGAAGAGTTAGGGAAAGGCTCAGAGTGCTCCAAACCTTTTAATGCCTGGCAAAGAGCATTATGACGCAGGCCAGTCACTACAGAGCCTTGTGGCTGGAACGGAACATCTAAGCAGAACTTTAGTGTGAGGTGTGAAGACCGAGCCATGGCAGTTTGTGATCTCTCAAATTAAGCTGTTGAAGATGAAGTTCACATAGAAGTCAGCCAGTCTGCTTTTTTCATCTAGTCATATCAAAAAACACTGCAACAATTTGTTACTATGAAGGTAAAGGCGGAGTGGGTCTAATTGCAACTGAAAGTGCAAAAAAAGATTGTTCAAAAACTGTAAAGACACAGTACTATATAATGGATTTTTAAATTTGACTTCTCTACAGTGGATAATGTTGATACTAACACTAGTAAACACCACTGCCTGCAAACTAATGAGAAAATGAAAATGTACACTCAAGGTGATTGCTCTGCTTCCATTCTTCATAATTCACTATGGCAAAATTATTGTTTGATCTTGAGTGTCATATAATAAATGTTATCAGTTACTTTATCAAGCAAAGATTTTTGGAGCAGGAGATACTTTTCTCAGCTTCCTATTCCATTAACATGAAGGGGTGTATCTGTAACATATCATCACACCACTGAAGGGTCTTAAAAATTACGTATTACCAGATACTTACAAACATGAGGTGAAGATTGCCATTTTTAATAGTTTAAGGATGATGAAGTGATTCTTTTAGTGAATGACTACTACTCGTATTTCTTTCAATATGACCTAATTTTTTTTTTCAATTAAGACAGCTGATCTTGTACATGCATAAATTCGATATAGTATATTAATTGCTGGGTTACCAAAGACTGATAGCAACAGCTTTGGCCATAAATAGAGCACTCACATAAACACATGCTAGTGAAAGAGAAAACATTTATTCAAATACATACATAGGCTTTTAAACCCACCTCCCTGTTTTGATTGCACCAAACACTGTCACCTTAACTTCATTCTGTTTTCAGTAGGGGGAAAGATAAAAGTAAGACTGACCTTTCAGGAAATCACCAACAGTATTCGACTTTTGGCATCTGATTAAAAAGGCAGATAAAGGTCGCATGGTACTGCGGATTAGGACGTTCGGTGGTGCACCCATGGGAGCTCCTCAGCAGCATGTTGCCCACCTCAGGATAGCTGCCCCTGGTTCACCTGCAGCAGCACACCCACTGCTTTCCCTATGTAAATAGTCTTCAGCAGATTGCAGAATCCTGCTAAATATTGATTCTGATAAGGCTTTGGATTAAAGTTAATTTAAATAGCACGTGTAAATTGTTTTATGAATTGATTTAAAATGACAAGTACTGAAAAAGCATTAAAGCTAAGTACCAGTTCAAACAATAAATTTGGGCTTGTGGTAATTGATATGTTTGCATCTGAAAGGCTAGGCTGGGGGGAACTGGGGCTCCCTAAATAGGCGTCCTTAGTAAAGCACTGCCATGCGTGCGGAGTGGGGCGCTTCGTGTGGGGCTGCGGCTCGGCCCCTCCGGGTTCCACCACAGTGACCTGCCGAGGGGCGAGAACGTTCTGGAAGGCGGCGGGCTCCAACGGCCGCGGGGCGGGGCTGATCGGGGCTGGGGTGGCTCAGTCAGAGCAGGGGGGCTGGGAGAGGCTTCTTGCCGGACAGGGTGAGTGCGGAGGAGGTGGAAGCTGGCGGGATGTGGAGAGGCAGGCATGGTGCAGGAGGAGGGGCTGGAGCGGGGCCTAAAGGAGCGTTTGGGTCACACCCGTAGAGAATGAGGTTGTCCTGTCCAACGAGGAGTACCTGTGGGGGCTTCTTTCCATGTATCCTTATCACTCCTCACTGACTGCTAAATAATTAAAAATTTAAAATTGGGACAACCCCTCTTCAAGCCTTTTCACTTCACCACTTTCAGTGCCAAAGCAAAAAAGTGCTGCTGATGGAGAGGAAATGTCAAATTCACACACATTATGAGATTATCGGTTTACTTTGGAGCCTACTTAGTGATGGCACTGCTGCCCAAAGCCACACACATGGCTTTCAGGTGCTGGGGTACATTTGTGAAGGATCAGTCAGTTGCTGGTCAAGACACAGTGGTAATGAGAAGCCTGTCTTCAGCTCTTGCAGTAGAATGCGTAACTTTGCGAACAGCAGATCCAGACATTTAAACCTAAGCAAACAGAGTACAGATCAGACTGGCTTTTAGAGGAATTTAATAGCAGTTGTCCAATCCCCTTGCTGATTTATAAGGATATTTTGTGGTGCCTTTTCAGCCTGTGTTTATTGTTCCAGTACCACACCTTCTGCCAGTACCTGGGGCAAGATTCTGTGCTGTGCTTTGTGCAGTCAGGCTGGATTCCTCACCCATGTCAGTGCTCTCTTAAACTGCATTTTGGGATGCTCCGAGAGGTAAATCAGCTGGCAGCCAAATAAATTGTTGTTCGTAGTGTAATGGGTGAATAACTGTGTGAGTGTATGGTCACAGCAGCTGCCAAACTCTTCTGGCTGGAAAATCAAGCAAACTGAACACCTGAGTGCATTAGGTGCTTAACCTGCTTTGCCTGGACTTGATGAGAAACAGTACCACTACCAGCAGTGCTGCTGTGTTTGCAGGGATGTTGGTAACTTCTAGGAGGCACAGGCCAGCAATGGTGACCTCTTCAGGTAAGGTCACAGCTGCAGCTGAAGGTAAAATAAACTAATGATATTAACTTAAAAGTGTCCTGTTTAAAAGAAAGTGTTTAATGGATACAATCTGTACTTACACATTATAGATTGGTATATTTTCTTCCTTATGGCATACATAAGCAACAAACTATATCTCATCTGATTGTCCAGTAGTCAGTGTTTTGGTTCTTTGAGTTGCCTTTCCTAGATCAGATATGCATGTTGTGGAAGGTTGGCATATGCTAATGCTAGGCTAATAAGTATGCTGAGGAGCCTGGGATAGAGTGAGTTGTGGCAGAGCTGACATTATGGAGGTCATAATGCTATTTTCACAGGGTACAGTGGTCATTCATCTAAGTGCTTTCAAACAAGCAGTTTTTTGCTATTTAAAGAAAACTTCCTTTACCCAAAAGACCCTTCATAATAGAAAAGCTGAGGAAGTTGTAGTTGCTGACTGGAAAGCTTGGTTATTTATGCTTACCGTAAGTAAAATACCCATCTTTTGTAGAGGTGTAGAAATGTCAAATGTGTAACTCAAAGTCTTTTTCTTTTCTTTACCTCTGCTTGACACATCTCGGCCACCTCCACTGTTAAGACTGGGAGTCCATTGTAGGAACTTTTCCCTGCGGGGTAAGAATGTTCAGGAGATGCTGCTGTCTCAAGAACTGGTGATACTATTCAGCACAGTGGAGAAATCCCCTTTAAGGTGTCAATAATAGACAAAACCCAGGCTATTCAATTATTCAGAAAAACAGGACTCTCTATTTGGTACTAATGCTTAGGGGAAAGGAAGGAAGCAACATGAGAGGCTTAGAGAGTAAATACTGGGAGAGAAAAAAATAGAACAAATGAAAAGAACAACTTCTCCTACACTACCCTTTAATGACCCATGGCAGGGAAAAGATTCATGACTATTTAAAATGGAAATATAGGGAAATACATGTTTTAGGTGGGTACAGGATATTGGTAACATGTAACTTGTTTTAAGTCTGTCTTCCCTAACTGCATATAAAATGTATAGAACTAGTACTGCTGATGAGGTCTTGTGCTTAAACATCAGTATCTCTCAGTTGCTGTGATTCATTCTGTATGGAGCTTCATCCTTCATATATCTATAATATATAAAAATCTTCTAAAAGGAGTCCATTGTAAGCTTCAGTGGTGGCAGTGCAACCAGCGGCACATTGTTTCTTTTCAAACTCTCTTAGAGGAAAAGAGGTTTAATAGTTGATTTTGCAATTGTGTTATAATTTGACAGTAAAACATGTACTAGAGATTTAGTTTTTTTTTTCGTTCCTCTCAGCTGCCTATGTATACATAGAACTCTGAGCATGTGTTTCAACAGTTTTTCATGTTCAGTAATACTCTTCCCCCCCCCCCGTATGATAATATGTAGAGTTGCCATTTTAAAACAGTCCATAGAGGAGGAAAATACAGAATGTTTGTCCTTCAGGAGTCTCTTTGCTGACCTGAATAAACATTGCAGAGATACCTGAGTCATTAGGGATTTACTCTGCTAGGCAATTTCACCCCATCACCCTTTCAATGTAAATAACTATCCTTAATTAATGGAAATGCAATATATACTAAGTAATGACAGACCAAGTAAATTAACAAATGCAGGATAAGATGATATAGCTCTG